CCTCCTAGGGATTTAGTCCGACCGACCTCAAATTTGTGCTGTGCCTTCTAAAGGCATTGAAGATGAAAAGTTGTGCTATTTGCGAGTTTTCGTCAATGGGCGTGTCCGTGGCGTGGCGTCAAAGATCAACTCTTCGCCATGACACAGGAAGTTGTTGTAACTTCAGTGTACATGCTCACATCTGAACCAAACTTTACGTGCTTGATAACTCAAGGGGTCATCTTCTCTGCTATTGGTGGACCAGTCAGACAGGAGAGCTCCTACTCTGCCTGCAGACATCAACGATCTTGCCCCTCACACAGTCAGATGGCTTCCTTCAGTGCGCTGAGTTGTTTAACAACTCTGAAGACAATACTACCAGCAATGTCTTCCTTCTCTTTTCACGTAGACGCTCCGACAGACAGTGCTTTCAGTTTGTTGCATGCATGGACACAGAACTGCGGTATAGGGAGAAGCACGCGGTCAGCTGGCTGCAGCTAAATCTGGAGCGCACTCGTATTCAATTCTGTATGGTAAATTCAGTTTTAACGGAGCAGAGCGAGCTGACAGGCAGAGTTAGAGACTTTTTCTGTCCGTTTCTCTCTTTACAAAGACGCATGTTGCAGTCAGAGTCTTCTCTGAAGAGGGCAATGAAGTCTCAGTAGTACCCGATGCGAGCACCACATACAACACAATTTATCAAATTACACAACGGATATACAGTATGAAAATAAGATTGATTGGATTATACTCACAGGAAGTATAAAACCTGTTACATGCGTAACACAGTAATGTCAGGGAAATTACTTTACTTAGATTTAAGTACTGCAGTTGTACATTTGAAATACCTTCCTACCTTTCTGATAGGAAGCCTTCTTGAAGTGGTATAAAACATTTCTTCTTATATTCTGATTTGAGTTGTGGACAACTATGACCACATGAATTAAAAAAATTAAACATTTCACTGCCCAAGTCAGCTATAACACAAGTCTTGTTCATCATACTACATGCTGTACAGTATTTGTGGACAGGATTTATTATGCATTTCTTCTTCTTTGTTGCATGATTTAGAATAATAAGGTGAGAAATGGGTCTATTCTGAGTTCATCCTGCACTGCAGCAGCTAATAAAGTCCATTTAATCCCAAAAACGCTTTTCTTTTAGGCAGGCTGGAGCAGAAAACAACTCACCTTTCTCAAGTTGTACAGTAATGTCACATGTGTATGAAGGTGGATCAAACAAGCTAATCTTAAATGTCAAAGTAGAGAGGAGCCTAGTAGGCCTATTTATTTTCATTCATTACACAATATGAATAAGCTATGCAGACAGTTGTAAAGAAAGAACATCTTTTTCTTCTGTTCTCTACTTGTTATAGTTACACAGTATTAGGGGTGTGGGCTGTATTAAAAGTATCCACTGTTCTCCCATGCTCTAACACACAGTAACGATGAAATGTGTGCTGTTCTCACATTCTTCCTCTGTATGTACACATAAACAACAAGGCAGGGAAATATAAAAGGAATTTATTTTATTGTTTGGGTACATTATTGTTCAGTGTACATGCTCAAATCTGAAACAAACTTTACGTGCTTGATAACTCTCCGACCCCGCAGACATCTACACGTCAATACCGATTTATATTCATAGCGGCAAGTGCTATGTAGCTCCACATAGGGGACACAGGAAGTGACATATAACACCTTCATGCGCCGTCATAACCGCATAGCAAATTCACAGCCGCACCGGCAGAGCTCCAGAATATGCAACTCGGCCAGCTCACACGCGGACGCGCTTACAAGTGCGAGGGCCCGCCCAACGCTGCTTGCAGCTTTAATTTACTAATTGATATGTTTCTTTAATTGTCTATTTATTAATATAATGAATACCCATCTTGTCTATGATACATACACCCTTGATTCAAGGAACAAAAAGGTAGCAGAAAAGTGTGTATTGCCATACCTGACCACCACGTCAACCTCATCAATCCTCTGTCCCAGAGACTTGTTGGTGAGTATTCCTCCATTCCCTACGATGATGCATGTCTTACAGTTCATACTGTAACACAGAAGAAGCACCATTATGATGTGGTAATACTTTACTTCAGTCATTTACCCCATACTTCTACTTAAGTCAAAAGGATGTCTCACTTTTTCTTCTTCTCATAGAAAAGAAGAAGACATCCCACCAGGTGTGTGTTTAAATGTTCAGTGTGTAAGTTTTAGTGGCATCTAGTGGTTAGAGTTGCGAATTGCACCCTCCCCTCCCCTATCCAAGCGAGTTGTATAGCTACAGTGCCTGAGACAGGACAAAAGATGTCCTCTATGAGACACAGTCCCCGCCAAAAGTATTGGAACGGTAAGGCAAATTCCTTTGTTTTTGTTGTTCACTGAAGATATTTGGGTTTAAGATCAAAATATGAGTATGAGATCTTAAATTGCTGGTATTCACATCTAGATGTTAACAACTTGTCACCGTTTGTATTAGACCACAGCATTATTAGGTGAGCAAAAGTAATGGAACAAATAATGTTAAAGTAAATAACATTTAATATTAGGTGGCATAACCCTTGCTTCCAATAACTGCCTCAAGCCTGCGACCCATCCACATCACCAAACTGTTGCATTCTTAATTTGTGATGCTTTTCCAGGCTTTAACCGCAGCTTCTTTCAGTTCTTGTTTGTTTCGGGGTGTTTCTCCCTCCAGTCTCCTCTTAAGGACGTGAAATACAAGGTCAGGTGATTGACTTGGCCAGTCTAAAACCTTTCACTGATGAAGTCCTTTGTTTTCTTGGCAGTGGCTTTGGGTCATTGTCCTGCTGCATAATAAACTTCCTTCCGATTAGTTTCAATGCAATACAATAAGAGCCTGTTCCAGAAGCAGCCATGCACGCCCAAGCCACAGCTTTACCTCCACCATGCTTCACAGATGAGCTTGTGTGCTTCAGATCATAAGGAGTTCCTTTCTTTCTCCACACTTTGGCCTTTCCATCACTTTGCTAGAGATTAATCTTGGTCTCAGTCCATAAGATTTTGTTCCAGAACATTTGCGGATCATCTCTGTACTTCTTTGCAAATTTCAATCTGGCCTTCCGATTCTTCCTGCTGATGAGCGGTTTGCATCTTGTGGTGTGGCCTCTATATTTCTGCTCTCTGAGTCTTCTTCCAACAGTGGATTGTGATACCTTCACCCTGCACTGTGGAGGTCGTTGGTGATGTCATTTACTGATGTTTTGGGGGTTTCTTCACAGCTCTCACCATTTTCTGTCATCAACTATTGTTGTTTTCCTTGGCCTTCCTGTTTGACGTCTGTTGCTCAGTACACCAGTTTCTTTCTTTTTCAGGACATTCCAGATTGTTATGCTTGCTATGCCCAATGTTTGTCCAATGGCTCTGTTCAATTTTCTCAGCTTCTCAGCTTGACAATGCCTTGCTTTTTTCCCCCCATAGACAGCTCTCTGGTCTTCATGTTGGTTTATCCTCTTTAACACGAAATGCTGTCTTTATAGGTTTGAACCAAGGATGAAAACTTCGACTAGTCATGCAGAGCTATTTAATGTTTGGACAATCAACCTAAAAGGCAACACCCTGGGCAACAAGAAACATCTGTCAGTCACATGTTCCAAAAGTTTTGCTCACTTGAAAACTTGAAAAATGGGTGGGCTCACACGAAGAGTGGTATGTCCTGAGTTGTTTAACACATCTAGATGTGAACACCAGGAAATGAGAGCTGAAATTCTGAACTCTTGTATCATACTCATCTTCTGATCAAATCCAAATGTGAATTTGCCTCACCGTTCCAATACTTTTGGAGGAGACTGTAGCAGAGATTTGACAGGTTTGGTTGATCAGGTTTCTTTACATTGATATAATAAGAAATTATATTTACCTGATTATTCAGTAAAACCATATGTTATAGTGAATATTATTACTTGTTCATTAAACAGCAGCCACATCAAGAAATGAACTGTTTCATGAAGTATCATTCTCCTGTATTGTAATAATACTTTGTTATATCTTGGGAGGGTTGGCTCATCTGAACTAACATACCAAAGTAAATGAAGAACATCTTATCACATCTAGTGTCACAGTAAGTGGTGTGGTGAAGCAGGTTGGAGGAGGTTGGAGGACCCAAACGCAGGACACGAAGGCTAGCAGGTGCAGTTCAGTGAAGGGGTTTTAATATAAACAAAAGGTGAGCACACTTACAAACTGAGTGGCTGAAGACAGAGTCCAAAAACAAAGGTTGTCCAACAGAAATCCAAAATGAGCAGGGAAACAGGGAGACACGACGAGTGAGGCTGACTACACAAGAAACACACACTGCAACTCAGGGTGACAACATACAATGGTCCGACAAGGACAAGACAGAAACACCAGGTATATACAGTGGGTACGGAAAGTATTCAGACCCCTTTAAATTTTTCACTCTTTGTTTCATTGCAGCCATTTTCCAAAAATCAAAAAAGTTAATTTTATTTCTCAGTAATGTGCACTCAGCACCCCATCTTGACAGAAAAAACAGAAATGTAGAAATTTTTGCAAATTTATTAAAAAAGAAAAACTGAAATATCACATGGTCATAAGTATTCAGACCCTTTGCCGTGACACTCATATTTAACTCAGGTGCTGTCTATTTCTTCTGATCATCCTTGAGATGGTTCTACACCTTCATTTGAGTCCAGCTGTGTTTGATTATACTGATTGGACTTGATTAGGAAAGCCACACACTGTCTATATAAGACCTTACAGCTCACAGTGCATGTCAGAGCAAATGAGAATCATGAGGTCAAAGGAACTGCCTGAAGAGCTCAGAGACAGAATTGTGGCAAGGCACAGATCTGGCCAAGGTTACAAAAAAATTTCTGCTGCACTTAAGGTTCCTAAGAGCACAGTGGCCTCCATAATCCTCAAATGGAAGACGTTTGGGACGACCAGAACCCTTCCTAGAGCTGGCCGTCCGGCCAAACTGAGCTATTTGGGGGAGAAGAGCCTTGTGAGAGAGGTAAAGAAGAACCCAAAGGTCACTGTGGCTGAGCTCCAGAGATGCAGTCGGGAGATGGGAGAAAGTTGTAGTAAGTCAACCATCACTGCAGCAATCCACCAGTCGGGGCTTTATGGCAGAGTGGCCCGACGGAAGCCTCTCCTCAGTGCAAGACACATGAAAGCCCGCATGGAGTTTGCTAAAAAACACCTGAAGGACTCCAAGATGGTGATAAATAAGATCCTCTGGTCTGATGAGACCAAGATAGAACTTTTTGGCCTTAATTCTAAGCGGTATGTGTGGAGAAAACCAGGCACTGCTCATCACCTGTCCAATACAGTCTCAACAGTGAAGCATGGTGGTGGCAGCATCATGCTGTGGGGGTGTTTTCAGCTGCAGGGACAGGACGACTGGTTGCAATCGAGGGAAAGATGAATGCGGCCAAGTACAGGGATATCCTGGACGAAAACCTTTTCCAGAGTGCTCTGGACCTCAGACTGGGCCGAAGGTTTACCTTCCAACAAGACAATGACCCTAAGCGCACCGCTAAAATAACGAAGGAGTGGCTTCACAACAACTCCGTGGCTGTTCTTGAATGGCCCAGCCAGAGCCCTGACTTAAACCCAATTGAGCATCTCTGGAGAGACCTGAAAATGGCTGTCCACCAACGTTTACCATCCAACCTGACAGAACTGGAGAGGATCTGCAAGGAGGAATGGCAGAGGATACCCAAATCCAGATGTGAAAAACTTGTTGCATCTTTCCCAAAACGACTCATGGCTGTATTAGATCAAAAGGGTGCTTCTACTAAATACTGAGCAAAGGGTCTGAATACTTATGACCATGTGATATTTCAGTTTTTCTTTTTTAATAAATTTGCAAAAATTTCTACATTTCTGTTTTTTTCTGTCAAGATGGGGTGCTGTGTGTACATTACTGAGAAATAAAATGAACTTTTTGATTTTTGGAAAATGGCTGCAATGAAACAAAGAGTGAAAAATTTACAGGGGTCTGAATACTTTCCGTACCCACTGTATACACACAGGGACTAACGAGCAGGGCGGGAGCAACACAGGTGAAAGACATGAGGCTAACGAGGCACAGGCAGGGAGACGGCTTTTGCGCTTTTATTTTGAAGTAACATCACGACAACAACACCGTCAGTCACCGCATAATATGACAACCAACACTAACTTACCTGTCAAGTTCTTTCCCAAGGCCATAGGACTTAGTTGCTGACAGAAGAATATCTATAATCTTCTCTGCAGATATAAGAGAGAGAAAGAGGCAGAAAGAGAAAACAACAAGTGAGATGAAGATGAAAGTGAAATAATCCTCCACATTCCACCCAGCTATGATGCCCTCATCTCCAGCACAAATAGACTAGCTGTGATAAAAGAAGCAGGTTGGTTCATGGTTCATCTATTCCACGGGAGAAAAGTTTGTTATGAGCAGCCAGCTCCTCCAAACACTACATTTTTGGTCCTATAGGCTGATACATAATGCATTCAGACAGGGTCAAGAGGTTCAGTTAAAAAATGGTTCCACTTGTTAGGAAATACGCTTATTCATTCTGAGAATGAGGTCGGGCAAAGTACACCTACAGTAAGTGACCTATAAACATTTCAGCTTTAGTTGCAGTTTCATTACAGGTTTAGGCACAAACTACTTGGTTTGGTTTGGGCTAGCTGAGGAGGTAGAGCAGGTCTTCCGCTAAAGAGAAGGTTGGAGGTTCAATCCCTCGCTCCTCCAGTCTGCATGTCCAGATACTGAGCCCTGATACTGAACTGAATGTGTGGGTGAATGTAACTTGTAGTGTAAAGCACTTTTAATTGTCAGAAGACTAGAAAGATGCTCTGCAAGTAAAGACCATTTACCATGCTTAGGAAAAGATCATGGTTTGGGGTACGATAGTTACGCAAGTTAAAAGAAGTCAATGTTGAATGCTTCACACTTGAATTGAACAGCAGTCTCCTGGGTGAAAGCAACGTATTGACCTATCCCACTACCTTCTAAAATTGAAAACCCAAACATAATGGTATTCAAAATATTTCAGAGAGCGCGAGTGAGGGATAGAGTTTCCGCCGCTTCCAGGCTGACATCCAGTAATTATATGTATGTCAGCCTGGAAACAGCGGTGTGCACTGCACATCTGTAAAAGAAAAGTAAAAGAAAGTAAGCTGAATGTCCGTGGGAAAGTAGTTTTCCGTTACTGACAAATAAATGATGGCTGGAACTGCTAGAATAGTGTTATGGCTCGTCCATACAACAGACTTCTCTCTCAGTTGTGAGCTCCTCGTTTTGATTTGCATGGTCCTCCTGTTTGGTATTACCCAATTCTGAGTTAAACTTTACTCTCCTCCATGTTTGTTTATTCTGAATGCAAATTTCTTCCCTGCAACACGGCAAGTGTGGAAGCGGTGAAGTTAGTTTTAAGTTGGATATTTGTTTTAAAGGAGACCTATTATGCTTTTCCATATTTTATGACTTCTACATCTACAATGTTACGATGTTGGATGTTCATGTTAAATATGGCCAAAGCTTCAAATTATGATGTAAAAGTATTTTTTTTAAAACGCTCAGTTTTGAACAGCTTTTTCTACAAACGGCTCCGTTCTATGACACATGGAGCTACACAGTACCGGTGTTCATTATAGGGTCATTTGGTATATATGGTCTTCAGATCTTGGCCAATCAGGAGACAGCAGGCTTTGAGAGGAGGGGCCTTAAAGGGACAGGGGCCTCTGCAGCTTGTTTCAAACAGAGGCTGTTTTTCACCCCGCTTTCAAATGTTCGAAACATACCGAGGCCTTGACAGCGGTAGGGTGTTTTTGCAGCTAGTGGTTACAAAAATCTTGTCTTAACAGGAGAGAAATGCATAGCCACTTCCATTGAGTTGATCTGTATAACCTACAACTGTGAAGACAAGGACGTGTACTCATACCTTGTGATTTTACACCAAACGGAGGTGAATAATCACCAATCTTGAAGAATCGTTTGTAATTTGGATCAAGGAAGATGGGCGCCAGTTTGTTGAACCTGTTGATATAAAAGAAAACATGTTACAACAAGTACAAATGAAGAAATGGTATTTATTAAAGCAATATCAACCCAAGACCCGCAGGGCCATGATGTGTGTAGATGTACTGATTAATGTCAAAGAGGATTTAGAGCATTGTGTTTCAGCTAATCCACAGTCTGAATTTACCCTCACCAAAACAAACTCAGAGACAAGTTGAAAGGACAGGATAGAGCTGCAAATTTCACACAGCGGGGCTGGGAGCAGATATCCCGTCTGACCTACTGGCCACTGAGCAGTTTGTTGGTTACCTTGCTTGAGGGCACTTCAAAGCTGGTAACTCGGAGGAAAGCAAACACTGCCCATTAACTTTAATTCCCTGGTGGTCCAGGGGCTGAACTGGCACCTTTCCACTGATTGCTATAGTTGCTACATGAGAATAAATGTCTTTATGACATCAGATAAACAGTGTACCAGTACATGTATCATCGTGTCCCACAGCTGGGCATTACACATTTAAAGGGATATTTTCACAGTGATGTTAATGGATAATGGTTGTAGACCAAGTATCACAAATGGTTAAAGAGACTCAAAGAATCAACAAAGATTGTGCTTGACGGCACTAATCCCCTCTAAACAAACATTATCCAGGAACATTAAAACTTAGCTGGATCAACAATACCAAAGGTTTAGCACCTAAGGAGGAGGATGGGGTGGTGGAAGAAGCTGCAGCAGCAAACCGTGATTTGCACGTAGCCACGTTGCATCTGGTTTTAAAATCTTGAAATGACAAGTGTATATGAGGTCACACACACCAAAACAAATGGTGGGTTCTGGTTGTCACGGCAACAAGTTTACTCAAAAACATTTAAAAATACTGCCAACAAGTAATGGTAAAGGCAAGCATTGTTTAGGGAGTGTGCTGCTTACCCTTTGAAAATTGAGTATTAATCATTAATGTGTGATAAATACATATAATCTGCAACAGAGTACTACAGCACAGATAAACTTTGAACTAATATCCTATATATGATGCATACAGCAGCAGGACTAATAAGGATATGAAAAGGTATGTAAGCAATATAATAAGATATAATAGGCTGGTTACAACCTATAGTCCATTTATAATGAAGATGTGCTCAACACTGCATATAAAACAAAACTAGCACAGTTAAGTGTATTCTGTTTGTTACTTCAGCACAATAAACATGTTATACTGTATTTAATCATCACACCTGTCTCTACATTAGGGGATTAAGCCTTAATCCATGTCTACAGAGTTGAGTTTCTTGTTTAAGCACAACTGGACATGTATACACTATACGTGTATATATGTGTGTAAGCACTTTGTCAAGATCCCTAGTTGAGAGATGACAAAACATCATTTCATAACGAAATACACATTTACTATGATGCTACTGAGTCTTTCACAAACCACCCCACTTCCCATGTAACAAACAAAAAATATAAAAGCAAGTCTGAAAATGATCAGTAACTAAAAAGAGATACAAACTACGTAAAAAAATACCTTAGATTTCATAGAGATTTCTAACTTGACACCGGAAGGCAACTAAGTCCATGCTCTGAAAGAACACTGATTGCAAACTGCTGAGCTTTTGACAGGACCAACCACATTCATGGTCAATGGTTTGAAAGAGTATTTCCCTTCAGGAAGAAATACTTAAAAGTTAATCAGAGAATGCATCAACTCCTTGTCAAAAGCAGTTAACAGTTTGTATGTAATCTGTATGAAAATAAATTGGTTTAAATACTAATATAATCTATGTCCAATTTTGAAAAATGAAACCTACAAAAGGTAACATGTACATAACCCCAAACCTTGCTGTGGAAGAAGTGAAACAGTCTGAGGAAAGTGTTTCTTTAACCAAGTCAACCCCTGCAGCTTGTTTTTTTCCATGTGTAATAAATATCACAAAATGAACCGCAAAGTTTGGCAACACAAAACACCTGCTAATCAGTGAATGTTGGAAGGTCTATAAAACAACTGAAAGAAAAATGTTCCTGAAAACCCTTAAACATAGTTAAGAAATCAGCTACTAATGACGCATCTTGCCTTTCTCTCTCCATGCTGTTTTACTGTCTGATGGTGTGTTTTACTATATTTATCCTGCATGAATGTCATGCTATAAAGGCTGCTGTCTGTCAAATGATAAATGGCTGCATTTTACAGTGCTTTAGAATTCTCTCTTCTCACACACACACACAAGGCAGTGAGCTACCATGCAAGGTGCTGGCCTGGCCATGGGAAGCAAGTTGGGGTTCAGTGTCTTGCCCAAGGACTTGCGAACAACAGCAGCTGAGGATCGAATGGCCATACACACACACACACACACACACACACACACACAGCTCAAAAAATAAAGGGAACACTTAAACAACACAATGTAACTCAAACTCAATCAAACTCCTGTTAAATCAAACTGTCCACTTAGGCAGCAACACTGATTGACAATCAATTTCACATGCTGTTGTGCAAATGGAATAGACAACAGGTGGAAATTATAGGCAATTAGCAAGACGGGGGTGTCTTGCTAATTGCCCTGTGCTCTTCACAGATTATATATACAGTGGGTACGGAAAGTATTCAGACCCCTTTAAATTTTTCACTCTTTGTTTCATTGCAGCCATTTTCCAAAAATCAAAAAGTTCATTTTATTTCTCAGTAATGTACACTCAGCACCCCATCTTGACAGAAAAAAACAGAAATGTAGAAATTTTTGCAAATTTATTAAAAAGAAAAACTGAAATATCACATGGTCATAAGTATTCAGACCCTTTGCTAAGTATTTAGTAGAAGCACCCTTTTGATCTAATACAGCCATGAGTCGTTTTGGGAAAGATGCAACAAGTTTTTCACATCTGGATTTGGGTATCCTCTGCCATTCCTCCTTGCAGATCCTCTCCAGTTCTGTCAGGTTGGATGGTAAACGTTGGTGGACAGCCATTTTCAGGTCTCTCCAGAGATGCTCAATTGGGTTTAAGTCAGGGCTCTGGCTGGGCCATTCAAGAACAGCCACGGAGTTGTTGTGAAGCCACTCCTTCGTTATTTTAGCGGTGCGCTTAGGGTCATTGTCTTGTTGGAAGGTAAACCTTCGGCCCAGTCTGAGGTCCAGAGCACTCTGGAAAAGGTTTTCGTCCAGGATATCCCTGTACTTGGCTGCATTCATCTTTCCCTCGATTGCAACCAGTCGTCCTGTCCCTGCAGCTGAAAAACACCCCCACAGCATGATGCTGCCACCACCATGCTTCACTGTTGAGACTGTATTGGACAGGTGATGAGCAGTGCCTGGTTTTCTCCACACATACCGCTTAGAATTAAGGCAAAAAAGTTCTATCTTGGTCTCATCAGACCAGAGGATCTTATTTATCACCATCTTGGAGTCCTTTTTAGCAAACTCCATGCGGGCTTTCATGTGTCTTGCACTGAGGAGAGGCTTCCGTCGGGCCACTCTGCCATAAAGCCCCGACTGGTGGATTGCTGCAGTGATGGTTGACTTACTACAACTTTCTCCCATCTCCCGACTGCATCTCTGGAGCTCAGCCACAGTGACCTTTGGGTTCTTCTTTACCTCTCTCACCAAGGCTCTTCTCCCCCGATAGCTCAGTTTGGCCGGACGGCCAGCTCTAGGAAGGGTTCTGGTCGTCCCAAACGTCTTCCATTTGAGGATTATGGAGGCCACTGTGCTCTTAGGAACCTTAAGTGCAGCAGAAATTTTTTTGTAACCGTGGCCAGATCTGTGCCTTGCCACAATTCTGTCTCTGAGCTCTTCAGGCAGTTCCTTTGACCTCATGATTCTCATTTGCTCTGACATTCACTGTGAGCTGTAAGGTCTTATATAGACAGGTGTGTGGCTTTCCTAATTAACTTATTTAGAGCCATACTACTTTCGTGCACACCAATCAGACGATCAGGAATGTCTGTCAATGTCTGCATTCCTTCATTCTGTTGCAGAGCAAGGGGGGAGAAGACTTATTAGGGCCATATGAAGCCAGGAATCTGGATGGTTTATTAAGACATTTGGAGGTTTCCAAGCACACTCAACTAGCTGACTTGACACCCACTGGGTTATATTCATATAGTGTGATGCCCTTTGGTTAGTGTAACCCCCTGGAAACCTTTCAACGCCTAATGTATATGGTTGTCGGAGATCTGGAAGATTCTTTATGTCTGGATGATGTGGTCACTTACTCTGATGATTGGGATGTCCATCGTCCACAGTCAGATGGTGGGGCAAGTCAGTGTGTCCACTGCATGCAAAGGTGACTATGTCCCGCTCCACAACTAAAAAGGGGCTGTCTTTGGATCAGTTATTGTTTTTTAGGATTTTTTCCACTGTTGCTGCGCCCCTTACAAACCCACTGAAGGCTAAGGCTGAATATGTTTTAGAATGTTTAAGCCCTTATTAGGGTTAGGGTTAAAGCCTGTTTAGGAGGCAATGCAGTTTAAACCTTAGGTAGATGCAAGTTATGTGGGCAGAGGAGCAGTATTTTTACAGTCTGACTATTTGGGAGTGGATAAGCCAGTTTGTTTCTTTTTGAGCAAATTCAAAAAACATGAGCTGGAATTTTGAGTAATTGAGGAAAGACTAAGTGGGCTGGGAACCAGTGAATGCAAGGCATCGCGGTTCCCAGTACCAGCGAAGCGGCTGGGAACCCTATTGTAATCATTAGGATTTTTATTATTATTCTTCCACCGCTAATTCCAATACTGCAGCCTAGACGGTAAATGCTAGGGACGCAAAACTCATAGGGTAGGTCCAAACCCCTGCAAGTACCTCAGGCACAAAAATTCGCACACTTCTACCTCTAGGGGGCGCTATAAGCAAGGTCAACACGTTTGGCTTTGGAACTCCCGCCTATAAAAGGCGCAAAAACCTTATATCCACGCGTTCGGGGGATCGAGCTGAATCTCCTGGTATAGGCCACGCACATTTCCGCCTAGACTTTTTTTTCCCGCAAAATCGCGAAAACTGAAAAACCTAGTTTGATTAACTCCTCC